GATGAGCTTCTTTTTGACCGCTGCGAAAAAGTTGATTCTGTAAAAAATGGCTGCTTAAGTAGTATTCATTTTATCATTGATTTGGTTAAATTCAAATATATTTTATGGAAAGCATGCACGAAAAAATCCTCTCTTGTACTTATTTGATCGCAAATTACACCTTTTTTAAATTTTATTCTTAAAGAAAGGGTTTCCTTAGGTTAAAAAAATTTATAATTTTAAGTTTTTACGACTGTGTGGTGTCCATTCATAATACATCGTATCCGTGAATTATTAATGCTGCCACTGATATATATATAGCATGATCTATGTCTATTGCAAAATTCTACGAGGGCTATGCAACCACTTCCTCAAACCATACTCAAGAACGTACTTTTTAAACAGGATGAACACAGCATTCAGTTCGTAAAACTTGAATTCAGTTCTAGCAATCGGTAGCTTTCAAAATCATTCGGCAATTTAGAAACTTTTTTTAAAACCGAAGGAAACTCTTCCTTTAAGAATAAAATTTTAAAAAGGCGTAATCTGCTATCAAATAAGTGCAAGAGAAGATTTTTTCGTCCATGCTTTCCATAAAATGATAAAAATACATACTATTTAAGTAGCCATTTTTGCAGAATCAACTTTTTTGCAGCGGTCAAAAAGAAGCTCATCACAGAGTTGGCATCCTAGCATGACTGAAAATAATTGAAATTGGACTGCATGATAGACAGAATTGCAACCCAACTTACTGTTGTTTTGCGAGTGGTTGCCGATCTTTTTCGAATTGCGGAATGTTTCATGCAGCACTCGCCATACTGTATGTCACCACTAGGTCCGCATCCCTACATAAATGTATGAGTATATATTACTTTATAGTCTAGGTAAACAACCTGCACCTGACAGCCCACTGGAGTGGGCCAAGTTAAATGTAAGGGAAAGAGTTTGTTTCAAAAATGACGAGAAACATTCCGTTGTAGATATTTTGCATATGTTTTAATATGACGTTGGCAAACCTCTTAATCGGTAAAGATCACTGACTTCAGCTTGTAAAGGACATTTTTACTCTTAACAATCGAAGATGGCACAGCGTAAACAGTATTTTCACTGAACAGAGGCTCCACTTCATGCTGCACTGGTTTATTCAACAACGCAGCGATGTATAACATAAGTACTCAAATGACAATGTATACGCATTTTGGTGTTTTGCTGTTATTGCTAGTTTTTAACGGTTGGCCATGCATTTCCTGTTATACGTGGGTTTACCTAGTAACCTTCGCATGTTTCACAAACTTTGACGCAGAAACCATGTCTTCCCTTTTTCATGTAAAACATTTAGCCCAGAGTAACTAACCAGGAAAGTCGTAAATGAACCGGACACACCTGGTTAGCTCTAACAATAAGCTAAATGTGATTCAAGCCTTCCGATTAATCTCGTGTATTCAGTAAGATTGTTCAGATTAACTGCATCTACAAAACTCTGCTAACCTTATGGGGGAATGAAAATTCACTGAAAGAAACCCTTCTTCGGCAGACTGAAGAACCTCGCAAGATTTTACATCCGCTGTGGCTTAATGTAATTTCATGTGGCACCAACATGGTTTGCCTTCTTCTGGCATTGAAGTACATCTGATAGAATAGCTAATAGCCAAACAGTTTCTTTACTTTCATTGACGGTTATTTCACATTTTATGTCTACCACAAAATTCCGTTGTATATTGTCATCGTACTTTTTTTAGAAGCGGCTTTCGAGCAGAACGCTATAAGAGAAACGCAGCTGGGTTTACAGACTTTCGCATTTTATTCACTCGTTAATTTTTGTAAAATAAGCATAAGCTCCGATCGAACGCTATACTCTGAAACAACGCTAATAGATACAGTTCATTTTCATAAATATACACTGAAATTACTACGATTAAGTAGTTGAGTCACGCTCCAATTAACTCACATAAGTATTCCATATTGTTGATTCTTAAAATGTGAGTTATTTCAAAGACACATAGACCCACACTCCTTTCTCCACTTACTTTTGTCCGATAATATGACATTTAGCAGGAAGGGTGATGCTAGGCAACGGTCTATCAGTCACTGGGTTGGGATATTAAATGCAGAAAATGGGTTAGACAGGTAAAGGACAACCCATTTTTCCTGACGCAGTTGATAATATTTCTCTAATTTCTGTTTAGCTAAATACATTTATTAAGAAATTCTGGTTCGCACTGGACAAGCCAGTGCTTGCCTCAAATTTTGCAGATAGGGAGGTTACATTTCTACTTCTTTTCTATATTTTATCCAGAAAATACTATCTCAGAATATAAAATCCCCTTTAAGCAGATACTCCATTATCCAAAAAATGATATATGAAATTTTATTGACCAAAACAGGAGCTAATAATTAAGCAATTTTTCCCTTAACACAGAGTATTTTCTTGTAATGCATGAATGTCTCAAGGTATTCTCAGAAGCTTAATAAATACAGTTGAAATGGAGTTAAATTTCATTCCAGAACAGACAAGTTACAACATTTCAAAGTCCGCAATATTTCTTCGTAAGAGGTTTCTGTCCTGAATTCTCCAAGTTAAGCGGAAATCATTCATTTATAAATGGCGAATCAGGTAAAAACTCAGTAGTCGCGTTTCTATGCACTGTGTTTTCTTTTGACCACAGCAAGATGAATTCCAACTGACTGGGGTACACTAAAGGGGACAAAATAAAGCTCCTCAGGATGCATAGACACGTTTATTAAACTTTTTAAAAGACGACAGCAAGATTGTCCATCATTTATGTTCAAACTGATCATCTGTGCAAGCGCAACTTTTGGAGAACCAGCACCACGAAGGAGCGAAGAGCAGGAATATATAAGAGCAGAATGCATGGAAGGAGGCTCGTATTGACTACCAGTAACAGAGCTCCAACCTGCTGTTGTGTGCTGTTTATAATGAAGGTAGTCAGACTGAGGGCACTCAGGAACTGGTAGATGCAATCATAGACAAAGGTGAGGGAGTAACTCAACGCCAGGGGTAAAATACACATACTGGCCGAACGCCAGCTAAGTGGAGGCGCCGACTGCACGCCCCTGACGCAAGCCTCAGATTGCAGGGTCATTAAACAGAGATCGTCGGTGCGATTATGTCCGGAAGGGTCACGAACGGCTTTCACCAGTCTGTAGCAGACGTAAGCAAGAACGCAGGTGACGAAGATGAACATGAGTGAAAACCAAACGTAGACATGGGCGTAGATGACGGAGAGGAAGGGAATATTCACTTGTGTGGGCGCACAATCACAAGTATCACCCTGTAGGTTAACCGTTAGAACTTGAGGCATGGTAAGCAGAATCCCACCGATGACGGCCGTGATGTGATATGCCAGGATCCTGTGCTCTTCTACCACATTTTTGTATTCCCTTGCATTTTCAATCACTGCGAGACGATCGAAGCAGAAGAAAACGAGGTAGTGAGTACCCATTACAACAAATATCCAGTAAAAGAAGCGGCTTCTCCAAAAGATGCAAACAAGCCGGTCAAAGTGGTAATTGTGGGAGCGCCATGAGAAAGGGTACACGTCTTCAAGGAAGTTCATAAATGCTGTAAGAAGGCAGCAAACGCTGATGCTACGCAGGAGCATAAGGCTCGTGCGTGGAATGGGATGGGCTTTGGAGAGGCCAGCTAGAACGAAAGCGTTGAGAAGCAGGCCCGTTGTCTCAAAAATGTAAAAGAAAATATCAACGACATTGGGAAAATTAGTAGAAGGCACACAGTGCCAAAAAGTTTTAGATTCCTCTGTATACATTCAGGTCTGAGAGGCAGTAAGATGGAGTGGTGGTATTTATGTGTCCTTTTAGCCAATCAAAACAAAGAAAATCGAATTGGACACAGTTCATTAAAAAATAACATTTTCCCCGTCGCGAAACCCTATTGAAATAGGCACCCCTCATGTCCAGAAGTATAAGATTAAAAAATTGGCTGCGGACATACTTTCGGGTCTTCAATTTTTTTATCGCTCTTCTGCTCCATTCAAGGAGACTGAATTTTCCTATGACGATTCCAGCTAATGTTATTTGGGCCGTATGTTTAGACAATTCTTCTGCCCGAATGGGTTTCCATTTCTTTTTCCTCGCATCTTTAGTAAAAATTGAAGGACTAGGTTTCTAAGACTTTGGAAATGGGTTTGCATTTGTTAGGAATTTGGTGTGGTAAAAAGTGGATAAATGTTTGGCTTACAAGTCGAGCATGCAGAATCAGAATCGCAACAGATTTACCGGCAATCTGCATACTCAGAAGACGTTAACGCGTATTTCTTCCTAAATTGTTACCTATTTACAGAAAATTGTATCAAGAGTAATAACGGCCTAACAAGAGTCCGAGATGGAATTATATATCATTGGAATATTCCCAAAGGGGTGAAGCTTGGAAAGTTCTGGGCCGTATACATCACTCAAATGACTTCTTTGACTCAATTAACCAGAGGTGCGAGGATGGCTCTTTCTATGCTCCTAACGTTGCCCTTTCTTGACCTTAGCTGACCAGTGCAACCAATGTATTTTGTTCTACACGAGCAAGCGAAGGCGCAGAAGCACACAGAAGTGACATACACTGGTCGTTTGTTCTTATTTTCACCGTCTAGTGTGACCTTTGTCGAAAATATATTTCGAGCGTTAGTTTTTGAAATGTTCTATGAAACCGCTTCGTGATGATATCTTCTTCGAAGCTGATTGAATACGTCGATTTAAAAGAAAACTTCGATTATTATTCCACTTGTGGCATGATTGGGTTTACTGGTCTTGTAATGCTACTCCCTGACATTTGATTGGTCAAGATACCCCTTCAATCGCAGCCCTTCATAGATCTGCCCTCAACACTGTCTTTTTGGCAAACTTTTTAGAAGAGGACGTAGATGCGACTGCTGGAACATGGTGTTTTTTGTTCCCGACGTTTCGAACTTGCCGTCGGAGACAGTTGCAGAAAAGGGTACTTGGAAGCACAAGTGGCGCAGTATTTAAAGAGCGTGGTTTCCATAACACCACATGCCTATTGTAGCTAACTGCCGTCGTGTTCTTCGCTGGGAGTCGTAGTCGATACGATTATTCCGTTTATTTCCATGTCCGAGACGTAACAAGTCGTGATTACATCACCATTGACGGTACATAACGTGATGATTACTCGACAGTTTTGCTTCCTGCTGTCACCAGGATCGATGGTCACCCGCATCCTTCCCGCCTGGCTGGTAATATTGCCGAAGCAAAATCAGAACACGGAATATGATGCCCCGAGGCCACTGCGCTTATTAGTAGTGTCAAGAAACCATGACTCAAGCAGTTTAGGGCTCACACGTTTGTCAAGCCTTGCGTGCATTTCGGCCTAATCAAACTCGAGGGTGCGGCGGGGTGCCTGAGAGTTGGCTTCCTTCCTCCTCACTGCTGTGGTAATCCCTCTTATTGAAGAGCGAAAACAATTTACGCTCCCGGTTGAAGAGTACGGAACGACTAATGTTCTTATACTATTCTGATTATTATTCGCTTGTGCGCCGATCTGTTCCTCAGGATGTGCCCATCCTGGGATAATGCTTTTGCATTATTATGTTTTCTGTTCATAGATAGACGCCTCCTGAAAGGATACCATCAATTCACCCGCCTAAATGGGTGCACAATACGGACAGTAGCCCTGCCACTTCCTTCTCACTGCGAACCTACTCGAGAGCGACGTATGCATTATCTGAGGAACTCACCTTTCGCTCGTCATGAAAACCAATGTTTGCTGTGTGCGTCTCGGGGCAATGGAT